TGAATTTTTAAATTAGTTTTTTTCCAAAATGCGCAAGGTTCTTTTTCCGAATCTTTTTTTGTTATAACCGCAAGTCTTTATATATAAGTAAACTTAAAAGATTTGTACAAGAACGTTGCGCATTTTTGAGAAAAATATGTTTTAACGTGAACTTATTAATTTTTGTCAGGCACATTTTGTCATTATTTTATCAAAAATATGTTTCAAGTGGAAGTGTTTTAAGAAAAATTCAAACTAAATGGAAGATAATGGTATATGCCGTATGTATTTATTCTTTATTTCAATAGTGTTAAATTTTATTCCAGACGGAACCCTTTTATCCATAAAAAATCGGGATTTGTGGAAAATATTTTTTAAAAGCCCGTCTTAATTACTACAATGCAAGTTCCAGCTTCGGAAAGAAAGAAGTTGCAAATATGTTTGCGCAATTTCAAGAGCTACATTACCTTAAAATGGATGAGATGCGGTAGACACAAAAATAGATTTTATGAATCGGAAAAAGCGTGGTTAAAAAAAACTTGCCAATTTGTGGGGTATCAGATACCTAAAGGAGGAAGGCCGACTAAAGGCTTTGGGGAATTTAGTGACCAGTCAAAACGTAGGAAAATGTCCTAGCTTCGTCAAGATTATTCCCACGAACAATTAACGTTCGCAGCACAAATGAGCCTGCGAGCTAGTGGAAAGCGCAGTGAAGCCAAACAAGTTCTCGACACTAATAATCCCCCATCTGAAGAAACTTCTCTGAACTGCCGCATGTTTTTTTCGAATCACGAAATAAAGATTTCAAAGCGTATCGTGAACGTTTTAGCCGAAAAACTTCAATTAAAGCTAACCTTGAAGATGTATTTCATCGTCTACTTTATTCTTCTGCCTTGTACCGTTTTGTTATTGTTTCTATTTTAAGTAATCTTTATGGCCCGTTACCATAATTACAATTATCAATGTATAATGAATTAGTTTTTCAGTGTTTAGAACACAAAGTGACTTATTGGAAATAGTGGATGATCTGGGTTTATTATTTTTCTCTACATATTTTTCAATTTAACAAGAAAAAAAATTAGTTGAACAGTGTTAGTACACAAAATATTGAAATAATATTATAAAAATAATATTATATTTCCGTTTTGGATGTGTCTTCGTAGTTTTCAGGGGAAAAATCCGATTACAGACTTTTGAGCACCAACTTGTATGAAGCGGCCCCATTTGCGGCGCAACTAAGTAATATAGTTTTTTGGCACTGGTATGATAGATTTTATTGTGAATTCTTTGGTAAGATAATATACCGGAAATTAGTTTGAATGATCTGTTCATCTTGTGATATTTCTATATTAATTCTGTAGAGCACCTACCGGGTGTGTGGTTTGTGCTTGAGCTGAATGCGTAAATTAAATAAGACACCGATTTCTTTCTGATCATGCTCCTAATTCGTGACACATTGGACGCGTTCATAAGACTTACATAGCTATTTTCTAACCGTTGACTGTTTGTCCTAGGAAAGCACAGATTAGTAGTTCCGCTCAGTTCAACAGTTGCCAACTTTCCACCATTTTTTCCATCGTATAATTTTTTCGCTACCTGAACTCAGCGTGTTTTGCTCAACCTAAACAGATGATCGAAAAGATTTACGCAGCTTATATTAAATGTACTATGCTCATAAATGGAGGGTCAGCATTTAATAAAAATATCATGGCCTGATTATATAAAATAAAACTAAAAAGTTCAAAATAAAATAATGTAAAAAAAATAAATTTTTTTTTTAACAAGCTGTTATTTAACATGTACAATCAGAAGAATAAAAAAAGTAGAGTAACAAAAGATTGTTTTGCAAGAAAATTTTGTAAAAACTGCGCTAAAATTAATAAAATAAAATAAGTTAAGCTTTCGTTAAAGTTACTAAAAGCCAAATAGTGAAAGGAGTTACTCAAACTCGAATGCAAATAATTTTTGGGAAATCTAATATTACCACTTATAACAGTTGTTTAAGCATCACACTATTTGAATATAGAACAAAGACTTAACGAAGGTACTTTCGAAAAAAATACTGTCATTTAGTTGGTACCTTGGTGCCTGCTGAGCGCCTTTTTTCAAAGGCAAGAAACGCGTACGCGAACGTATCAAAACTTTTGTTTTTGCAAAAATGGTTAAATAACAAATAATTATCGGCGCTAAAAATACTCGTTTTATTTTATTTAAGGCCAATTAATAAGATATTTAGAAACTTTGCATAGAAAAATCTATTATTTTTCAACAATTGCAATTATTTTTTTTGCCTTGTGATAATCATATGATAAATAAATAGATTATTTTTTTTTGCCATCCTTATATGGCAGAAATATACTCGGAGGTTTGCTATTGCGAGGTGCGACCGTATTGAAAAAAACCTTTTTTGTTTTTTATTTTTTGATGTTAGATTGAACCGAGCTTGAACCCAGACCCTGAGGAATGGTAGCGCGCACTGCTAACCACTACAACACAGCGGCCGCCTATTTATACATGTATAAGGTAATATTTATTCATAATATCAAAATTATTGATTTTTAGTTACGTACATGTATTGGGTAAACAAATTAATATCTATTGAAGAATAAATTTTGCAAAATAAAAAATGTTACCTTTTTATATTCAAATCTCTTAAGAACAATTTTAATTCCCTGCTGATGAAGGAAACTAGAAGAGTGCAGTAGTATATTTTTTATGAATGCTCTCGACAAGTACAGGTGGCAAGTTGTTATTTTCTTCAAAGTGCCTTAACAAAAGCTAAGATTTTTCACCACTTTCGAAGTTAATATAACCTTCGTTTTGAGAAGATTTTCACTTCTCGCTGGCTGCTAAATTAATTTTCTTCTGTACGCATGTACATATGCAAGCATAAATTTTCTCCGGCTTTATTTTAGCCTTTTTTGCTCGATGCGCTTAGTTGCATTTTAGTGGCATTTCTCCCGGGCAGTATTACGCAAGTGCGTGAAGTTTTACTGCCAAAAGGAAAGTATAAGCGGATTATTTACATGCCAAAATGTAAGCCAGAAGGGATCTACAAACAAACTTGGGCTAAGCTAAGGTTACTTCGAGTGCGAGTACTATGTACATATGTATACGCAGAAAGGGGATACCTGAGAGATAAATAAAAGAAGCTGCCCCACACGAAACTTATTAGCGCTTCGGGAGTGGTAATAAAAGCTTAAAATGAATATTGAAGTGATGAGAAAAACGAAACAAAAGAATAATGGGGAACTAGATACGAAACTAGTAATTTTTAGCAAAAAAAAAACCGACTTCAACTCCCATATAAAAAAAATATATATATGTATATATCTCATGATCCACTGATCGGATCTCAACCAGATTAGTATGGGACCACCTCTGAGACACTACCTTTCCGATGCAAGAATTATCGAAATCGGTTGACGTGGTCCAAAGTTATGCGGTAACATACATAAAAAAAAAAAAATATTCCGACGAACTGATAACCTCCTCCTTTTTTGGAAGTCGGTTAAAAATAGAGAAATTAATAAAATGTAACGAAAAAAAAACAGTCTAAATGAATGGATATGGTTACTAGCCGATGGTAATGCAGTTGAAACAATTTGACGTGTGAAAGGAGTGAGTAGTTAACATATAAGCCACATCCGAGCCAGCTGTGACTGGTTTTATTCCCGCTTGCTATACTAAAATACGTAATTAAATTCATAAGGATTAATTTGAGCACATTCACTTCACCCAACAAAGAAAGCAAACACAAAAAATGACAATGAGAATGAGAATGGAAAACTACGTGGTTGGCTCAAATAGCGATGAGACGAGGGAAGAAAATGGGGAAATGTTTAACTTTAATAAATAAAAAGTATAAAATTAAAAAAAAAATTAAAAAGGCGTGAGATGTTGCCAACCGGTCAAGTGGAAAATACTTCGTCACAATGATTTTGTATCACGTTGCTAAGAAAGGAACAAACAATAATGGCTCAGAAAAAATGTATTGGAGGCTGTTTTTCATTCATTTGTAGTAGGAACATATCGTCGTTTAAAGTACAAAACCGCGTTTCAACAAAATACAAAACCGCATATCAAGAAAATGCAAAACCGCGAATGTGAAGTTGCATAAATTATTTTCTAGAGAGTAAAAACACCCATATTTCAAATGGTTCTCTTTATTATTATTATTATTATTACCTCCCCTTTATTAGCTCGGGATGTAACTATGTAATATTGATGCGCCTAAAAGATGCAGCGATTTCTATTCTCAAGTTACATACCTGACGACAGTACGAATGGAAAGCACTTTGTGAAGCATCACAGAACCCATGGAGTTCACAGTGGCCAAGCTTGAACAGCCCTCTTCTCGGTATTTGGAGTGTATTCAGCACTGAAAATGTGCTCCTCAGGTCCTTCCAATATGTTGCAATTTCGGTCGGAACTGCATCTGACCAATCCAGCATTAGTAACCAGAGTTCTTGAAAAAGGATTTTAATTAAAATTGTGGTTGGTGTTAAAAATCCTAAGGGGTCAAATATTCGAGCGGCATCCGATAATATCGATTGATTCGTTACCGTAGATGTAGTAGACGGTGACACACTGAATTCAAACACATCATTCGCTGGACTCCACTTTAAGCCAAACAGCTTCAAAGATTTCGTTGATTCGAAAGACAGTGGAGACATTTCACGCATGTTTTCCGGAAGCTCTTGCAATAATTCGACACAATTACTGCTCAACTTCCGTAAATTCATGCCAGCGGTTTTCAAAAGTGCAACTAACTCCCCATGTATTTTTAGAAGATCATCAACAGTTTCTGCACCTGTCATAACATCATCCATATAGAAATCATTTAAAATTACCCGTGACGCTAATGGGTATGCGGTATGCGATGTATGAGCACGTTCGTGTAACACTCTGACTGCCAAGTATGGCGCGCACGACGTGCCATATGTTACTGTGTTAAGCCTGTAGTGTTCTATTGGTTTATCAGGTGAACTGCGCCACAAAATACGCTGAAAGTCTCTGTGCTAGTCATGTACCCAAATCATACGATACATCTTTTCCACGTCTCCAGACATAATAAAGCGATGCTGACGAAATCGTATTATTATCGCAAATATTTCACGCAACAATGATGGTCCGGTAAGTAATGCTTCATTTAGCGACGAATATTTGCCGGTATGCGCAGACCCATCAAATACTACTCGAACACGCGTTGTTGTACTACCAGCTTTAATCACCGCATGGTGAGGCAAGTAGTAACACTCGTTCGACGATTTCGCAATTTCTGAATTTGGAATTATTTCCATATGGTTGAGCGCAATATATTCTGCCATGAAATTTGAATATTGTGATTGTAACTCTGGATTACTTGCAAGTCTGCGTTCAGTTGAGCTCAAACGCTTTAATGCAAGATCAACTGAATTGCCAAAGTTTGGACGTTGAGACTTGAAAGGTAACTCAACGCTGAATTTGCCATCATGAGCTCTCATGTACGTTTGTGAAAATGAATTCCNCCCATTTTGTTGTACCGTGAATATAGCTTATTCCATGCTTCTGTATAGTTCTCGTTTGACTCTGGAATATGCCCAACAACGTCGTACGCTGATTCTGCTAAATAGCTTTTCAACAATTGAAACTTTTGACAAGCAGTATATGAGGTGTTGTTGTGAATGGCGCTGACGTAGGAATCGTGAAATGACTTCCATTCGGTTAGATTACCAGAGAATGGCTTTATTTTAAACTTAGGTAGAAAGTTTAATTTTGAACTTGACACTTGTGTTGCTAAATTGTTGAGGATTTCTGTTTGGGACGAAAGAATACTCGTCACCGACGTATCCTGCCGCGTTGATTCGAAAACAGCTGCTGTATTCGCTGCCACATGAGACCTTCCTGAAATATGTAACCGTAATTTGCTTTTTAATGTAAGCACCCGCTCCTCGAATTCTTCCAGATCTTCCTCGATCTCTGCCACCACTTCTTCATCGTCGTCGCTCCTCTCGATCATGATATTAACAATTCCTTTGTACTCGTTCCAAACCTCATCGAGGCGCTCCAAGCGGCACTCCCAATCTGCAACTGGTTGATCGATACCACTAGTCGTCACAAATGTAGAAATTCTTGTGGCGGCTCCCTTCAGCATTGCCCGTTTAGCCTTCAATTTCTGCATTTTGATTCACTTGATATTAACCCGTGTACAGTGTTTGATGCAGAACAATAACCGAACCCGTGATAACAAATTTAAGTTAGTATAACCGCGTCTAATCCGGCTTGAATGACTAAAAATGTTATGTATTTGAATAAGCGGACTGTGGAAACAAATGAAAAGCCGACCTTTTACTTTTTGGTTAAACTTTATTATCGAACAAGTTGTTCTGCACACTTGTACCCTTGCGAAAAAAAGCCCCAAATTATCAAGCAATGCAGTCTTAAATAGGCGAATATTAAGTCTTAATGTACCGTAATATGAGGTGACATTATTTAGCAAAATATCAATTCTCAAGTTCAAGGCTACGTACAAAAATAAAGAACAATGTATTTAGGTATGGTTGTTTGTATATATAGACATAGTATGCATAATTGTCAAAAGACAATACGGACTCGCTACTGTATATACATATGTATGTACATATGTACAAAGTGATATATAAACCATCTTAGATATACGTAAGCATGTATGTACATATGATGTTTAATAAACATAAGTATGTTGAGTCGCGGTATGAGCTTAGCCAAGGGCGTAGCCAGGTAGGGGCAGGGGGGGCAGCTGCCTCCCCCTACAGCTACAGAACGAAAGAGAAATTTTTAAAAATCAATAAATAAAAAACACAAAATTGTATGTGTAATCGAATTCGTAATTATGCTCTCAATTTCCACATAAGGCTTGCGTTTTTCATTGTTGATACAATGAAGTAAGCACAGCGTTAAGCATTGAATTGGTACTGAATTGAATGAAACACCCACTTGAGTTTCTCTTACCATTCTGTGATGAACAGGATGGAAAAACTCAACGAAAAAAACACTTCCACTTTCGTTGTTTTTCGGTTAACACCTATTTCCTTTTCCATTGTTTTTTGGTTAACAACGCATATTTTTAGGCGAATTAGTTAAGGCGGAGTCATTCGGAAAGCACCGCCATCTGGTGGTAGTATGTCTTCAAAGTGAAATTGTTTAAGTTTACTTAATAACACGCAGCATGAAGTTACGTTTCCTATAAAACAGAATCACAGGGTAACATTTTTGCATATTCGGTTTTTCGAATGATTGTTAATAAAAACCGCAGTTAATCGAAACTTGGTTCATTTTAAAATTAGTCCATCGCGAAAGTAAATGGTCAATCAGCTGTTCACACAATAGCTATCGTGAAAGATTTGTCTTCAGATATACGAAAAATAATAGAAAAAAGAAAAAATCTTACAAAATACAAAGTCGGGAACAGTTAAGTACAATGGATATTAGAAACTTTTTTCAGAAAGGTAAGCTCCGGAAAATGGTACCTATAAGTTTCCATAATAAGTAGTTTTATGAATGTATGCCTACTTCTGTCTCTGTTGTGAAGGTATCTCATCTATGAAAAGGAAGAAGGGTCGTGACAGCAGCAGTGGAAGTGATGAAAGCGATGATATTAGTTTGCCCCGACAGTCTACTCCTTCTGCAACTAATATAGAAATAGATTCAAATGACAAATGTCACATAAACGACGTAGGGCGTTATGTTGGAAGAACTTATCAGCTGTCAGCAGAAAAGAAAAGGGAGATTATGCTGCGCCCATGGGTCCCGGAAGCTAAGTATAATTTTCAAACTGATGCACAAAGTTTGCAGAGAAAATTGAACTATGTTTGGTTAGAGCAATATTCGCCTTGGCTAGTTTATTCAAAGTTGTTAAAAGGTGCCCTTTGTAAATACTGCGTATTATTTCCACCAGTTCCTGGAACTTTTCGAGGAGTATTAGGATCATTTATGATTCGGCCTTTTTTAAAATACAAAAATATTCATGAAGACTGCAAAAAACATGTTGCCACAAATCTCCACCTAACTGCGATCTCTGCAGCAAAGGCTTTCGTTGAAGATGTGCCTGTAGATGTGCAATTACAAAATAGTCACCAGAAACTTATTGAAGAAAATCGAAATATCTTGTCTTCAATTATTTCATGCGTATTATTTTGCGGTACACACGATATGCCACTCAGAGGTAAAGAAGGAGATGGGGGCGTTTTAATAGACCTAATAAACATGCGAATCGATTCGGGTGACACTAAATTAAAAAACCATCTAGAAAAATGCCACCGAAACGCAGTTTACACCTCACCCCAAATTCAAAATGAGCTGATAAAAATATCCGGGGAAGTTATTAAAGCTCTGTTAATATCGGACGTTAAAAAAGCTGATGCTTACGCAGTATTAGCAGATGAAACAGCTGATATAGCCGGGAAAGAGCAGCTTTCAATTGGCTTACGCTTTTATGACAAAGCTATGGGAAAAATAAGAGAAGAATTTGT